CCATGCATAATGTCTTATTTTGACAGGTAAAACAATTGTACTTGTACATTTGATTTGTACTTGTAATGTGGCAAAATTGTAACAAGTTTATGTAGTTTATAGACTTCCATGTACAAATTTAGACTGTAACACAATAATTCTGACAGTTTTCTTACCCGATATCACATCCCCAGCAATCAGCAGTTGTAGGATTAAGTTGTAAAAGAGTTCATACACCACTAGTTGGCAGTGTTGTACATATATTGTACATGAAATGTTGTCAGTTAATAAGTGTCAAATTGAACTTGTGCTTTAAAATTAGCTTCTGCTAGTTTTTCTATGGCATAAGTGTTTTTGAAGTTGCGGACCTAAATATTTTCATAAATGCTTTAGAAATTGTGGAGCTAATTTTTGGATTAGCGCTGCCCACCTCTGGCTTTAGCCGAGCAGCTCTTTACTGCTGAACGTGCGTTTCATAAACACACTTTCATAGTTGGGATTTCTGTTGTTTCTGTGTGTGTAATTATATATTCTTCTCTTCTATTACTTAAATAAAAAGACTTGACGAGCAGTATACACTGATTTGTCTTAACTAACAACGCAGTAGAAAAGCAGTTATCTTATTAGATGTAAACTTTATCAGGATAACTTATTGCATTAGGTGCTAAAATCATGAGTATAAATGTGCACAGGGAAATAAAATTTCAGGTTCTGTGTAATGGTATGACACTGTTTTTTTTCCACAACAGGATCGATGGTTGCATTTGTTTCAGCTGGTTGAAAAGCAATATCAAGAGCAAATACTGGCTCAGCAAGAACAATATCAGTGCCAAATACAGGTAAACCTGCATTTATCAAACTGACCTGGTAAAGCTGCAAATATTGATTATTTTTGTATTTGACTAATGGGTCAATTTTTGTTCGTTTTGTCAATTAGTCAACAATTGTTTTAATCAGTCAATGCATTATAAATTATAAAAGCACTATAAATGTTAAGAATTGTCCAGTGTGACACTAACTTTACGCACTAAACTTACTGATCAAAAGGAAGTCGCTCCTCCTCTCTAGAGGGATTTGCAGCGGTGCTGCTGTAGTGTTTTCAGGGAAATGCTCACAGTTTTAAAAGTCTCAGTTTTCCTAACTCGTAACCTCTACCTGTGTTTCATTCACCATGAAAATGCACAAATTAGAATTTTGAAAATAAATTTGCTCAATGGAAACAGGTCACTTTTGAAAAAAATTAAGTTTTTCAACAAAATGTTTTTGCACTAGGATGAGGTGGTTTTTCGGCCGAATCTAAACTGGTGTTTTTCACAAAACATCAATGGAAACACTTTTTTCACATNACTTTAATAACATTTATTACTTCATGGAAACACTGCAGCTGTGAAACTGTTTTTTTACATTAACAGAATATCAACAAAGTCTTGTGCACATTTGTAATGGAAACACAACTACTGATCAGTTTTGCCAGTGCTCACTCTGTCATCCATCTTCGCTTTCTCCTCCTTCTCTATATCTTTCTTCTTTGTTGAAAGACTGAATGCAGTCTTGACAAACGTTAGAGAACAGACTGCCCTCAGATGTTTCAGTTTCTCATTTCACTTAGAACAAACCCCAAACATGGGTCTTTCTGACTGGGACTGATTATTGGGACTGATCTGTATATCAATAAAATCTGTGTCAGTAATATTTTGTAGTTGATTATGATGATTATATTCATTGTAGCTCTATCACCAGGTAAAGTGTATTTTCCAAGTGATTTTGTTTTAACTTTGTGTTTGTTTTTTAAGTTGATTCAGGATGAAATTAAGGCTCTCGTTCAGCTTCAGAACCGCCAGAGCAGTGTTCACCCACAAACAGAGTTCACTCCAACTCCACTGACCAAAACTACCACAAACACAAAGGGATACATTTTCCCTATCACTCCCAGTGACTGTGCAATTCTTCAAAATGTGCACAGTGATAATGACAATGATAGCCTAGCAGCCCCTATCTGTACTCCTGTTAGCTCCCCTTCACCTCCACCTGCCCGATCAGGGACCAACAACCATGGGGAGGAGCGAGCCATCACAGTGCTCAGCAGTGGATATGGAACCCTGTCTGCCTGGGAAACTGGTGTAGAACCTGCTGAGTCTCCAGGGAGTATGGACAAGGACTGGGAGGATGGTCAAGAAAGGAAGAAGCATCAGTGGGTCATGAATCTCCAGGAAGACACAGAAACAACTGTTCCTGGTTACCAGCAGAATTCTACCAGTGAGAGGACCATCAGAGTGGATGAACCTAAACCAACAGTAAACCAGAAGAATGCATCAGGGTAGGTCTTAGCTCTTTGAGTTCCCTCAGAGTTGTGTGTAATGGTATGACTGAGTCACACTTCAGCAAATACCTTTGTATAAGGGTGGTGGTTAAATGTGATTTGGTACGACATAAAAAAGAGAGCAGTAATGTGTTTTTTTTATTTACTAGCTGTGTTTCCATTGACCATGAAAATGCGCAAATTAGAATTTATAAAATAAATTTGCTCAATGGAAACACATCAATTTAGAAAAAAATTACGTTTTTCAACTAAATGTTTTTGCTCTAGGATGAGGTGGTTTTTCAGCCGTATTAAAATTGGTGTTTTTCACAAAACTACAATGGAAACAGTTTTTTCACATCACAGGAGTCACGTGATCAACAACCGTNCTTAATGGAAACACTGCAGTTGTGAAACTGTGTTTTTGACATTAACAGAATATCAACAAAGTTTTGCGAACATTTGTAATGGAAACACAGCTAGTGTCAATTTTACTCTTAACTTTATAGAAGCAGAAGTACTTCAGTTTTCAGTGTAGAAGAAGTTTATGTATTTCAGTTATCCAGCTTGTTAACAAAGCAAAGCAATCAAAGGTTTTAGTTTTAAAGCACAACATTCTGATGGTAACCTCCAGGTGGTATATCTTATTTTATTAATCTGCCTTTTCATGACAGGTGATGTTGGCTTATCATTGCTAGAAAATTTTTAGCAAATTTTCTGCAGTAATAATTTTTTTAGAAATTGCTTCTTTAAACTGCTGGAAGTTAAATTTTAACTCACGTATTTGGTGAATATTTACAGACATATTTTATCTGTCTGAACTGCTAATATTGATGATATTTTGAACTGTGCAATGTTGTATAAAGGTTGCATGTTTTAATTGGACTTTTAAGAGACTGAAAGTTTTCTGACTATATTTCATTTCTTCCGCTGACCTGTTTTTGCTGGCAGCACAAGCCAACAGCTGACCTCTTGGGCACAAAGGCAGAAACTTAGACCCAAGAAGAACAAAACAGGACAAGCTTCAGCACAAATCCCTGAGTACCAGGAGCAGTCTGTCAGCCCCAGAGAACCCACTCCATTTACCCTACTGGACAACACAGACTCTCATGACCAGGTACAGTTCATCCATCCAGTGTTTCCCCTGGGAAATTGGTCTTGGGGTGAGGGGGGAGTCTTATGCATATAATAATAGAAACAGTTGTAGGACAGTAATTGCCAAACCTTTTGAGACAGAGAGCTACTTCAGGGATACAGAGGAACATAAAGAGCTACTTGCTTGATACAAACTTCAATTTTAGTAATAAATTTACAAATATGTGAGTATTCGACTGCCAGATTAAATCTTAATATTAAAGGGATCCCCGATTAGTTGAAACGTTAGAGTTTATTTGATAAACATTTATTTTAACTGTAAAATAAAGACTGTAAAAATACTGTAGGATGCTTAGTTTTTATGAATTTTAAAAATATATTTTAACACGGACGGAGCCATTTTATTTGCACACAAAGCATTCTGGGTAAATGATGACGTGGATAGGTCCTCGGTGCGAGGCTGCTAGCGAGCTATATCCACCCTGAAGGTTAATCTTGGACAATATCTGATGATCGACTCTTTTAACCTGTTAAGCCCACAGTGGGTTTAGATGTAATTACCGCCTGAAAATACACAGCAAAAAAAATAAATAAATAAAATAAAATATTCAAGAATATCTCCACAGTTACAAGGTCTAAATGCTAACTCTTGGTACCTTCTTAGTGAAACCGCCACTGTAACTCTTACTGTGC